TCTCTCTTCCACACATTTCACCTAATGCCTATGTTTGTGGAACTTCATGTAAACTTATGGTCCAAATTTCATGCTCCTAATAGTTCCTGAATACAGGTCTTTTCTGGACCACTGCCTGTATTATAGCCTGACTCCATGGCTCCTAGAAGGTTACGCACAGTCGAGTTGACACATCATTCATCTTTCACGTTTCTCCTGAAAAGTCACCCCACCCATTACCTTTGATCACCTCACCTTCCTCTTAGCCCTCTTTAAATTTATTCTTTATATAACAATTGGATCTTTAAAAAAAATTTGTCAGGGCCGGGGAGATGGCTCAGTACAATAAGCGCTTCCCTGGCAAGCGCATGGGCCTGAGTTCAATCCCGGTTCCGGAAAAAAAAAAAAAATGTTAAAAAAAATTTGTAGCTGCCAGTTATAGAAGGTAGAATAAAGGGCTGGAATCCCTCTACCATGATTATTTCACACTATTCTACCAAGAGCATATGAAGAAAATCACCAGAAAAAAAGATTTAAATGAGTATTTAGAAAATAAAAAGCATAGGAAAGCAATTAAAAGTGGTGGGCGAATGCTGGAGGAAGGGTAGAAGCCTACCATGGTGGAAGACAGAGCTCATCTGCCAAGAAAACCTCTGAGATGCTTTGGGCACAGAGTTGGCAGGCCTGAGGAGCAGCGAGAAAAGGTATACACTCTCCCCATGTTCTTTTCCCAAATCAGAGTTCAGGAAACCCAACATAATTAACCCATGGAACTTGGAGGAGGTCTTCTTTAAAATAATTAAGTGAAATTGTGGATCATGCTGAACTTTCACATGAGTGTGAGCATTCTAAACAGACCCCTGCTTTATTCTGGCAGGTGAATAAAGTCCCCCACAGCCAAGAGAGCTCCTGTCAACCCAATCTTGAGAGACCACATAAACAAATGACAGTGGTCAAGCCAATACTAAAATCCATAAACTGTCATCTACAGTAACTAGTCTAGAAGCCACCCACGCTCTCTATCATGAGGCTTATGGGATGTCTATACCATTGTTTCTATTGAGTAGTCCAGGAAGGCACTAAGTAGGCACACTGTAACAGTCCCAAGTGATATGGACTTAATAACTTCCAGCTTGCCTGATTTTTATTACTGCTTTAGTTTAGGCCAAACTGGAGAAAGCCAAGTAGTCTCCTAGCAAGTCACCTGGAATGTACAGCTTCTGACTACCTGCTGCTTGCCGTGTCACCAGCCCTATCCAGGGAAGACCCAGGACTTTCCTCTCCCTTACTCCAAAGCTCTGCTCTGCCTGGCTTGGAGTCTGTGCCAAAATACAAGGGATGGTACCTGAACCCCTCTGTGCAGCATGAATACATGGTGTGGCTTGCTCTTGGGTGGGCGTCTTCTTTTATCCTCCTCCTCAGAAGCAGCATCTAGTTAATAATCCCACCCTCCATGCCTAGAAACCCCCCAACCACAGCAGCCTTACACTGAGAGATATGAAGATCCATAGAGGTAACCATGGAGGGAAAAGACAGCTAGAAATTCAACCCAGCCCCTCACTCCTAAGGATGGACAGAGAGCCAAAGCCACCACATGGGCAAAACCCAGCAGCACACAGGAGACAATCAGAACAGAACAGAGTAACCTTGGAGAAAACACCAATTTGAGACTACAAACAGCTTTTGAAAAATAATTCTAATTAGATCTTCAGTGACATGAGAAGATATTACCTCCATAAAACCCAAACCAGCAGGCTGTGAAAAACAACAAGGGAGAAAAAGAGACTCCTGGAAACTGAAAGTGGATTGTCAAAATTAAAAAGATTGGAAGATTAAGATGAGAAACTCTGACAAGAACAGAGAACAAAAAGATCGTTTGACTGTGCAGCAAAAAGGATGAGTCATTTCTTGTTACTTATTTCTAGCTAAGTTCAGACATGGCTGGAAGTGGGCACTCTGGGTGCGGACCCTGGAGTTGGAAGGGCAGACTTGGTAGGGCCCTTTTGCTTTGCCTTAGAAGTCCTTTGGCTTTTGGCCATGTGCATAGATTGCTTTGACTGGAAGTATAATCTAACTGCAATTCCTTTTATCTTTTATTTATTTGGTACAGTCTTCACTACACAATTAGGACTCATAGTGATCCTCCTGTCTCATCCTTCCCAATGCTGGGATAACAGCTGTGTACCACCATGCCCAGTTTCGGTGGCCCAGTCAGCCAAGGCCAGCTCAGCATGTGGTAGCAGGGATGGAACCTTGAGCTTTCCAGGCGGGTGCTTAGACCACTGAACTATTCCACAGTATCTAATTGCAATTCTGACCATTCATACCACCCCTGACAACCACATGAAGGAGTGCAGCTCAACCTCCCTCCTGCCTATGGCCATCCAGGGAGCCAGCTCTCCCTTTCCCTACAACCTTTGTGCCTGCTTCAACTCCACTTACCTACCTACCAGGCTCTTAAAATCTATGAGCTGGAGATGTGGGATCAGATTTTTCTGGTTTTGAATCTACTTACATTTATGTTTTAATTTGAAAAATGTTGATAAGAAGAGTCTCTGTCGGGACTTCTATGAGGATCAAATGAATTGCCTGACTCGTTGCTTGTCGAGGCCCTGGTGCATGACAAGTGAGCAATAAATACGAAAGGCCATCAGGGCTCTCAGAACTAGCTTTGGTTTGTTTGGCCCAGTTTTTTCATTTATTTTGGCAACTTTTTAATATTTATCCCCTAATTTTTATTTTCTTTTTTTTTTTTCTCAGAACCAGGGATTGAACTCAGGCCCTTGCACTTGCCAGGGAAGTGCTCATTCCACTGAACCATCTCCTTGGCCCCTCCTCTAAAATATTTTTTTAAAGTCATCTCAGACACTTTGCTAGTCCTTGATTCCAAAGAGATTTTACCCACCTGTAGTTTTCAAGTCACTACTGAGTTTTTCTTTTCTAAATAGGGTCTCAAAAGTTACCCATGTTAGGGCCAGCCAAATAGCTCAGCAGATTAAAGTACCTGCAAGCAGGCGCAGGGCCTGGGGATTCAATCCCTGGGCCTAAAGCTGGCCCCACCTCCGGGGTGCACTAAGACTGCAATTGAGACAGGTGCGAGCCTGTAATCCCAGCTTGTGAGAGGCTGTAAACAGGTGGATCACTATGAGTCTGATCTAGTAGTGAGATCCTGAACACCCTGTAGACCCTTCCCTAAAAAAGGGGGGGAAGGGAAAAAAGTTACCCATGCTGGTCTTATACTTTTGATGCCCCCTCACTAGGTGGGATTCAATTAGAAGTCTTCTGATCAGCACATGTGTCCTATGCTCAGTGAATGACCTCCTCCATTAGGCGCAATCCCTTTATGAGTTCTCAAAACCCTAATCCTTGCCTTCCAGCCTTCCATAAAGAGATACATCCCTACACCCACGGTCCTGTCTCCCACTCTAGGTCTTGACCGCCATGCACGCTTTGTGAATGTAGTGCTCTATCTGAGACAAGACTTGCTCTGCGAAGTTCAATATGGGTGTAGAAAGAACAGAGGCCAAGTTTCTCTGATGATCACAGTTTGCTAATGTCTGGTAAGACTGAGCATTTATTTGAAAGGCCAACCAACTCAGGTGTTAGAACTGTTTGTCATGGAAGAAGATCATAAGGCAGGCACCATCTAGTGCTGGGATGAGTCAAGCTTTGGGATCCACAAAGTGACTCTGTGCTGGGCCACTCACAGAAGGGGTCCAGTCTCCAGTGCAATGCTTCTGTCTCCTGGGGAACGTGACACTAAAGCACACACTACATCCTAGCAAACAAGGGCACTAGCTTTCCCCTTTTTCTTTTTGTAACTTAAATCATCTGATTCAATGACCTTATTCCTCTCATCTGAGTAAAAAGCCAAAGCCAGTCTCATCTAAAAGTCAAAGGAATTGCCAGTAGTTACCTTAAAAGTGGAAAGGCTAGATTAGAATTCAAGTTGCCAAAATTCCAGACCAGTATGTTGTGATTCTGGGAACAAAAGAAAGAGGGTAAAGGAAGAGGGAGAAACACTGAAAGCAACTGAGGTAGAGGTAGCTCTCTCCATCTTGGTATCCAAAATTGAGGCAGTGGTCTGAGCAGCCCCTTCCCTCAAAGACTCAAAGACTTCAGGTCTTTGTTCTGATGAATCCCTTCTGGTGGTGGGTATTGAAAGTAATCCCATCAGAGGGATTGTGAGGATGTGTGGCAGATATTATGAAATTAGCAATTCTTAAGGAACATTCAAAATCCGAGACCTCAGTATAGCAAACAGGCTGGCTCCCTTCTTATGCATGTAGGGTCCATACTCCTGAGGCCGAGGCAGTGATACAGGCAGATTAGGTCCATGTTGTGGTTTGTGTTTAGTTGTCCCCCCAAAGCTTCATGCAGCCCTGGGGTGGACTTTGTGATTAACTCATGATCCACTGGGATTACAGGTGTGAGTGCTGCACCCAGCCTGGACAGATAGCCTGAATACAACATAAGGAAGACAGACTTGCTCTCTGCAGCCCTGGTACTGTTACTCCCCTCTTTTGCTCTTGCTGTTTTTCTGCCTTCTGTCACCATGAATGATTGTCCTCTGCCATGTCCCAGCCTGCCTTGGAGCCAACTGAGTATGGACTGAAACCTCCAGTAATTGTCAGCTAATAAACCATTCCTTCCTTCATTTTGAGTATTGGGTATTTGTCCCAGCAATGAGAGAAGAGTAACTGAGACAGTCCATCACCATTTTATTGGAAGCACCATGGTGGGATGGGAGGCCAGGCTGTCACCATCGGCTCTGCCATGGAAGGGGAGGTATTGACAGGACCAGGAGGTGTGTCTCTTGGAGTTCATCAGGGGTTGTGTTGCTAAAAGCAAGGGGTGGGCAAGGTAGCACTGCTGGCTCCCAGATACTTCTCAGACAGAGGTCTGGGCCTCAGACTCCAGCCACTGTGGCTTCAGTCTTCCCCACCCAAAGGAAGATGATGGTCATGGTTTGGCCTTTATATGGTGGGAGCAAGAAAGATGAATGGGAGAAGAGGGACTTATCAGGAGAAGACCCACAAGAACAGGCAGAAGGCCATGAGGGTGCAGGAGTGCTCGCTGGCTGGGGCAGGACTGGCAAAATGGTGGGACACAGCTACATTGGGGTTGTCCTGACCAGGCTCAAACCACTTCTGGAGACAGCGCCCACTGCTCCTGTGCTCAGGGCTTGCCTGAAAGGTATTGCCCCAGATCTTCTCACACAGGTCCGCGGGGGTGAGAAAGTAGTCAGGGAAAGGGCGGCAACGGGCCCCTGCTGGGCAACGGCTTTCCCCTGTGGGGTTGACAGCACAGAGCTCACTCCTCAGTGGTCCTCTCCCATGCCCCCTCATGTATCTTAGTTTAGCACAAGAGGGTTGCTCTGCACCCAGAATGGGGATTCCAGGGGCCCGCCCTCTTCCTTGGCCCAGCTATACCACTGACCTTGCTTCCAGTCCCAGCCTCCATGCCAGTTGGATTTGCAGGTGTAAGAACTGCTGCAGTCGGCCCACCACTCTTCACAGTCTTCCCGGCACAACGGGATGCCGGAAACCCGCTCCTCCAGACCCTGAGGGTCCACCTGAGTACAGCAAAGTGAGAGACAGGAACATGAGCAGCAGCGATTTGAAGGCTACTAACAGAAAGGGTGGTACCTGGGCCAGGTACCATGTGTACATACATCAGCCCTTATAAAATCTCCCTGTAGGGCCAGGGATGTAGTTCAGTGGCACAATGCCTGTGTGGCAAGTGCAAGGCCCTGAGTTCCATTCCTGGCACACACAAAAAGAAAAGATTTAAAATATCTATGTATTATCAGTATACAAATAAGAACAATGAGACCAAGTGGCAAAATAGTTTGTCTCAGGCTGTACAGCTAGTAGGAAAAGATGACATTTAACCTCAGGTATGCCTAATCGCACCAAGCCTCCCGTGGTGATCATTCCTGATCCTATTGTTCTCATCTGACCGGTCTCCCCCATGCCAGGCTCCAGGGCCAGGCGTTGCTTCCACTTTATCCCTTTTCCCAAGAGATGCTCTGGTTCTGCCATGCTCTACCATGGGGCAGCATCTGTTCTACACAACACCAGTATATTATTAAGTTGAAGCGCCCTGCTTTTAGTAACATGGCAGTGCTTGGATCTCACCAGATGGATCCAAGGCCCCAGGTTAGGGGAACACTCATAGAAGCAGGTGGCCCGGGTGAAGTGCCTCTGACAGCTTGGGGTCAGCAATCCACAGTGAATCAAACTGAAGTTGTGGAGGTGTATCTCTGTGCGGTGGGCCTCCCAGCTTGTCATGGATGTGCAGCAGGCATTGTCCTTCCAAGGGGCACACTGAAGGTGGAGGAAAAAGCAATAGGCATGAAGAGTTAGAAGCGAGCTTGCTGGGCATCTAGGGCGGAAGTGAGTGTGCCCCTCAGGAGACAGCCTGCGCTCAGTGCAGTCACCAGCCTTCCTGGAGAGGAGGAACCAGGGAGCTCTGAGTATTTGTCCAGAGTACAGCCGGCACCTGAGCAGTGACTGCCCTGCCTCAGGCTGCTGCAGTCCAGCTCTGGGAACAGTTTCTGGGGGGCTCAGTCCTGAAAGGCAACAGAGGCCTTTGCGGGGAAAGAAAGTGCTGAGGTGTCCTGGGAGACAGAGACCTGGGAAATCTGGAGTTGTTTATGTGGAAGGACTCAGAGGCTAAATGCCAGCTTCTCCTCCCACATCCTTATCAGCTGCCTTTAGGAGCTTGGAAGGAGGCCATTCTGTTTCCCAGGACTAGCAGTCAGAAGCGTTCTTCGGATCTGTGCTGAGGAACAGTGGGTCCTCAGGATCACCCTCAAATGGCCAGAGCAGCTCACTGGTGGAGTTTTGGGGCTACTTTTCTCCCAAGGAACCAAATGATCAGCAGTCCAGAAACCACCTCGGCATTGGTGTTGCTTCCTTGATTTTCCATAAAGCCCCACTCCAGCCCTGGGCCCGGTCTGGCTCTGTACCTGCATGAAGAGTTTGTCTTCTGGGCCAGGTTCTCTCTTGTGGTGTCTGGCGTTCATGCAGACATTGAGTGGCTTGTCCCCAGCCTGGGCAGCCATAACTGTCCACAGCGCTAGCAGAAGCCGCTGCCACTGTGCCATGGCCTGCTGCAGAGAAGAGGCACACGGTGCTCGGATGACGAAGAGGACCCCCAGTCTGCTTCCTCCACCATAAGAGGCTCTGAAGGGAAAGATGGGCTCCTCTAAGTGGCTACCACACTGTTTGTAGCCAGGACCTTCTGTCCGGGGTAGGATCAGGGAAGGTGGGACAGTCCTCTGAGATCTGATACCCCAAACATTGTATGGATGGAGAAACAGGCCAGAGAGTGAGTGACACCAATCTTAAGGAGGGGACCAGGAAAGTATAGTTCCAGCCTTCCTGAGAAATTTTTTGCAGCTCTTCTCTGCTCATGGAGCCAGCCTTTCTCACTCAGTAGCATTTGGGCTGGGAATTCAGAGCCCTTGATCCTGGCCCACAGCAAACCGTGTCTAATTCCAACCCTCAAGGGAGCTCCAAACAAAGCCCAAAACTTTGCTGAATAGCTGGTTCCCAGTCCAGCTCCCTTTAGCTAGAGCCCTTTCCTTAGAGCAGGAGTTTTGCTTCCACCAGCCTCAAGTCATTTCAAGCCTATTATGAGCACGAGGGGCCTTGGAGGGCCTCTCAGAGTGGGGCGCATGCCTAGGCATTAGGATGAGTAAGCTTCATGCGTAAACCCAAGGCCCTATCCCAACACAGCTCCAAGGCAGGCTTTCCCTTGCTTTTTCTGAGCACTGAATTTACCATTCTATTCTAGACTGTACTGGCAATGAGATGACTAGAAAGAGAAAACCTTCCCAACCACTCCTCCCAAACCAGCAGAGCACCTAGCTCCAAGCACAAACCCCTAAAAGAGAGACTCCTCAGTCTTCGCCACTCAGGAGCCCACGGCTCACCAGAGCCCCTGGGAGTAAAACTGAGCACTTACAGACTAACTTGAGTTTGCAGTTTCAGACCTCCTGGGGGTGGCACCCCAGCCCCTGCCTCTGAAGTCCATCCTTCAGTCTAACCTGGGGCTGTTTTTTCATTTCTTGATTTTATTTTTAAGTACCAAGTATGAAAAGAAAAAGAGAAAGAACCAAGTACGTTAAGAGAAAAGAGGAAAAGTGCAGCCCCTTCTAGTACGTCTCATACTCACCTTTGGTACAGGAGTCCTCCTGGGGCTCCTTCCCACCTCCCAGAGACATGAGCTGGGTCAGGCCAAAGGGAATAAATACCTCCAGCCACCATTCATTACCACGTTCTGCGAATCCAGGTGCAGCAGCACTGCTGTAGGTGGCTCCACCTGAGCAGCCTTCTTGCCTCTGCAAGCTTCTGTGGGGACTGAGAGCGCCTGCTTCCCCGGAGGAGGAGGACTCAGCAGGGTGAGATTCTCAGAGTCCTGTGGTCACCTACCAAGTTCAACTCTCCATGCTGCCTCTGCTGGTGGAGGATTTTGAGGAAGTTCGACTTTCTGAGCAGCAGTTCTCCTCCCTCTGTCAAGGGAGCTACCAAAATGAGACTGCTGAGGAAAAGAAAAAGTTCCCACAAAGGACTAGGCATAGCTGCTGACTCAGAGTTCAGTTTTCAGGGTTTTAGTTCTTGATCTTCTCTGGAGCTTTCCCTCTTCTCTCCCTCTGTTCTTGCAGCTCTACCTGTGCCTTCCTTGGCTCAGTCAGCTGGTGCCTGGATGTGTCCCTGTGTCCCCTCACACCCACAGAATCCGAGGATCCCACAGAGGAGCCATCACCACACGGGGCCCACACATGAGGTATAGTCTTGGGAACTCAAGAATTTTATCATACAACTAGAACAGAAAAAGGTCCTTCACCACCCATGAAACATCCTCCCTTGGCACACAGGGACTGCTAGCCTGTGAAATACTACACTACGAGTGTTCCTCTGAAATAGAGCCCATGCCTTTGCTCATTTCTCTTGTTTCTTCTAAGCAGAAGTAACTGAAGTTGCTGAGGTTTTATTGATACAGAGGAAGTGAAAGCGAAGCACTAGAAACATTTTGAAGCAAATACACCTTGATGTTCAACGTCACAGTTCAAGTACAAACAGATACTGATCCTCATGTTGGAAAATACCCTTTTTCACACATGGGTCATCAGCCCTTGAGTGCTGAGCTCCAGCGAGGACCAGGCACTGGGCTGGTGGAGCTGTACACACGCAGTCTGAGTTCCTACTTGCAGCAATCCCCACAATGAATACCCTCCATGTTTTAGATGTGGGGAAACTGAGGCTCAGCTAGAAGTGGCACAGCTAACGTCTGAACATAGGTATACATACATGAGTCCATATGGGATGTGGCAGAGACCATTAGAACTGAACTAGCAGAGTCTTGGTATTACTTTTTTAAAGTTAAATGCCACTGTCTGTCTGTCT